TGGTCTTGTTCCTTCATTAGTGTCTCCTCATTCAGATTTGATCTTAACAGTATTTATTTTTTGTGGTTTACATCAGTGTCCCAAATGCTTGAAGGGGGTTCAGTATTTGTTGAACGCATTGTTAAACTGAAATCAAGGAAGTAAGATGCCTGGAAAGTGAATGTCTTTGAAAACAGTGACTGATATGTTGTAATGCAATGTCTATCCTACTGTAAAGTTTGACTGAAGAGCCAAAATTTGCAGATGATTTTACAATAGTTACAGGATATATATTTCAAAATTTACTTCTTACTAGCTCTATTGCAATGAGTGAAGTGTTTGTTTTAAAGAAAATGAGAATGGTATTGGTTTTGTTACTTATAGTAGTTTTATTTTATTATTTAATTTTAAAGTGTCTTATTTGAATGCATGTTGATAGATAATTGTTTCCTATATAAAGAAAATGTGCATAAATGACCTTATGCTAATATATTATTTTTAACAATACAATTTACTCAATTTTTATTTTTTGTACATGAGTGTCTTCCTCTTCAGAAATATCTGGTAGGCAACCAGTTTTTAATAAAACAAATGTTACCTTTAAAATTTTTTATTTGGTTGTTTGCAAGTTTTTATTCTCATAAAGTCATAGTTTACTAGTATAATAAACTAAAATTATTTTTCTTGATGAAGAAAAATGTATTATTTTATATATTTATGGTTTATATTTACTATATAGATACTGCAGGGGTATTTTTGTTTGTTTTGTCGGTTGTGAGGCTTGAACTCTGGGCCTGGGTGCTGTCTTTGAGCTCTTCAGCTCAAGGCAAGTGCTCTACCACTTGAGCCACAGTGCTCCTTCTTGTTTTCTGGTGGTTAATTGGAGATAAGAGCCTCACAGACTTTCCTGACCAGGCTGCCTTTGAACCATGATCCTCAGATCTCAGTCTCTTGAGTAACTAGGATTACAGGTGTGAGCTACTGGTGCCTGGCTCAATACTGCAGTTTTTATATGTAATATATTTTTAAAACATAATTACACTACCATGAAGTAGAAGAAATTATACTTAGCATCAGAAGGCAAATTAATGCATATCACTTAAGTTGAATTACCCAGATTAATAAGTATTTTATAGATTTTATAAATCTTGAATGAAACCAGTAATATTTCTTTGAGATTTCTTTGTTAGCGTATATTAGTTGTACAGGGGGCATTTCTTTGTGACATTTCCATATATACATAGAAAAATCCTAATCAAAGTTACCTCCCCCATTTCTCTGTCTTTCTTTCTACCTTCTTAAACCAATTTCAGCAGGTTTCATTGTTCTGTTTTCATATGTGCATATAAAGTACACATGTAATACTTTAATTGTGCATTTGTCCTTTGAAGTATTTGTTCTTTTTAGTTCTATTTTCTGTTGTTTTCTTCATAATTGTCTGACATACATTGAATGAAACTTATGGTTGTGCTTTTACTGTAAAAGTGATGTAAAATTTATCTCATTATAAGTTGTCATTTCTATAGGAATGGATTTATAAATTTTTCATAAGAGTTGGATAATAACAGTATAACTTACAACATACTCTTGTCATGATAAGCAGTAATCTAGTTTATCTAACACAATACCCCCAAAACACCTAATAAAGTTACTAAATGTTAGTGAAAGTCTTACTCATTGTACAGTTATAATGATTATGTGGGATACGTTGATATATTGCTTGAGTTTTATAGTCAAATTTTCTAATGTTTAAAATGAACTTTATAATCCCTTTTTATGTTTAAGTAACATACAAAAATACTGAAGGAGGTGGGCAGAGAGGAGTAAGTTTGATTTTATTACTTATGGAAATGGATAAATTTTCTCTTCTTTCTTCTTTCTTCATATCATGAATATGGGTGAATGTTCCTGAAAACAAACCTGGGTGCACATATAGATTCCTTTGGTATGCTTATTTCTTTTCAACTGCAATGTGACCATCTTTTTAAATGATGAAAACTGAAGAGAAAATTAATTTGGAAAATAAATTAATTTTCAATGGACGTTGGTAACTGGGATAAAGATTTAGTTCTTGATATATCCTCATGTTTGTAGTTTCTAGTTTTCCCTATCATTAACCAATATGGAACAAAACATATTTGCAAAGTGTTTTTTTTTTCCTAAAGAGGTAGTATTAGCTATTTGTAGATAGGTACCTGTTACAACAACACTGTTAAGAAATATTAGAGACCACATTCTAATTCCCCAAAGCTCCCCAAACTGGCCTTTTCAGGCTATCACAATTAGTTAAATGGTTAAATATTGTATTGTTTGTATATCAGAGTACAAGAGAACTCAAAAATTGAGAACCTCAAGGTATGTGCTTATTATTTGGATTGATAGGGGTTTAATATTTGAATCTTGCTCTCTTCCATTTGCTGTCTTATTAACTACTTGCTAATATGTTGTATCAGTGAACAGAAACTTAATAGTAGCCAGAGAAAACATTTAGAAGTTAAATTCATTAATGATTTAAAAATAACAAGATTCAGAGCAAATATATGTGGTTCTGGAGTGTCTATTTTTAAGATTATTCATAATCAAGCATATTGTAAACTATTTTTGATAATTATATGTTGTTATATTTATAAGATGTGCATTTTGTTGGTTTATATCTTTACAAATAGTTTATTATGTTTGTAGTGCACATTAATTCTGGAGATTTAATATTTGTATATAATTTTATATGACAAAAACATGTTTCAAGAACATTTTCTTCATAAATTATTTAATGACATAATTTTAATGGTCATCATTCTTCTAAAGGGAAATGCCTCTGTATGTAGAAACAATGCACAAATTTAATAATTAATACACATTTGATAAATTTCCTATAAGACCTTTGTGAAATCTGTTGTTTACTTTCTGCAGTAAACTTCAAAACATGGATGAGTACAGAGAATATTGCAAAGAGTTTTCTGAACTTAAGATTAGTGAATAAAATAAATAACACCACATTTTTTGATAGCTCGTCAACAGGAGGTTACTATTTTTTCAACTTACCAACTTTGGCAAATACTGCCCTGTATTCTTTGATCAGCTTCTTTTTTTTTGCCCTAGATCCATTTAGCATAAAATAACAGGAGAAACTAAAAAAGGATATTGCAGAATTTTTTAAATCTTGAATTTTCTTTCTTTACAGAATTATATCTGTAATGATACAGGCATCTCAGTTTATACTGCAACTTGATGTGAAAGTTCCGCATATCAAAAATAGCTAAAACGTTTCAAAAGAAATTAATGATATATTTTAAGAACCACAAATTGTAGTGCCTTTAACAATCATAGTTACATTTTGCCATAATTTTTTTTATTTTATAGTTGTCATTTTAATGTCAAGGTTCAGATATGTCTATTCTACGTCAGAATAAATTAATAAAATCTTACTCATAAAGCCACTCTTCAATTGTAACTAGTATGTGAACTTTGTAAGTAAGATGACTTGGATTACCCTAAACTCCAAAAAAACATAAGAATTTTCTAAATTCTGGAAGGAATTTGATCTCATTTAGATAATTAGTTATAACTATTTGATTCATTGTTCTGGTGCTTATATAAAGATTCTAATTTTCTCAAATTTTCTAAATTGGTACTTAGGAAAAGTAATCACAGTGTCTTCAGAAATTCATTCTCTAGTATTACCTGAAAACGAATGTCTGCTATTGATATCAACATCATTTTGAAGGAGCAGCACACTTAGAATACCAATAGCCTTTTTTATTAATTCTACTGTTTTCCCAAAGGTATTACATTAAGGATAAAGAGAAAAATAACCATTTGTGTCCTAAAATGCCTTGCTTCAAACTGCCACATAATTTGGGATTTTAAAGAGCCTACACTTTCACCACTAATTCTGTCTTTTCATCATTATCACTCACTACTTCTTAAATAATTGCCTATGTGTCATTCTAACTTTGTATTTTCCAGCTGATTGCCATTTTAACAGTATTTAAATTGTGTTTTTTTTCAGTCCATGTGTCTGTTTGTGAATGTACACATCATTTCTTCTTTATTTATAGATTCAGATAGGAAAGTGTTCTTAATTTTCTTAACCAAAACAACATTAAAGTAATTGATTATTATGTAATCAGATATTATTCTGATTCCTAACATTAGAGTAAAACTACTTGTTGTTGTTATTTTATCTTTTGGAACTTTTTTCCTATTACTTATTTTTAAAACACCTGAAGTTGTTTTGAAACAAACCATTGCTAGTAAATATGTGGGAAGACAGTGAAAAGCAGGAATGCTTTTTAATAGTTCATCATTTAATTAGCGAATTTAAAACTTAAAGCCACCGGTTTAATTAGTATGGCTATTACTAGTATGTATGAAAGCATTCAATATTTAGTTTTTATTCCAAACTTAGGATAAGATTTTAAAGTTGTTTATGTTTTTGGCTAATGTTTTGTTCCATTTTTTTAAGCCTTTGAGGATATCCTTTGTGTCTCTTAGTCTGCCATTTCTTGTTCTTTCTTTCTGCTTGTAGAGGAAACACAAATCTAATAACATATTGTCTACCTGAAAGCAGCCTTTTATCAAAACCAATTATTTTTAAAACTCCACAAATGAAAACATTCATGTTGTCCAAATGTCTTGTGTCCAAATGTCTGTTAATATTGCTGCTGGCTTATTTTAAAATCACTATTTTATACTGGATGAATTTCTGTTATATTTACTTTCTGTTACATTTGTTTTCTGTTACATTACATTATAAGTTGTTTTCAGGAGCAGTACTGTTCTTAGATTTCAAATTCACAAAAGTGATCCCAATATAGAATATTAGACATTTTTAGCAATATAAGAAAGTGCTTTGTGTTTAGAAACTCTAAATAGCTAATTAATCTATCACAGTAAGGAATATACTTCTTATGACAGTGGTTGATATGTCTGTCTTTTTAAAGAAGATTTGTGAGTAATATAAATATTTGTATAAGTAATATTAATTATAAGACAATATTTCTTTTTATGTCTATTTTCAGTGAAAGAATTTCTAGCCAAAGCAAAAGAAGACTTTCTGAAAAAGTGGGAGAATCCTCCTCCGGTAAGGAATATTTACTTTTTTCTGCAGTTTAAAATTTCCGTGTTAAGTACAGTCTTAATTCTTTTCAAAGTAGTTTGCTACTACAGAAAATTTTATTTTCAAATGGCATTAGTATATGTAAGCTTAAAATGGCAATTGTATCATTTTTAATTAATAATTGTATACCTAAATTGGAGAAGGAACTGACTTCTTATATACTACCTAAATATAAATTTTTATAGTAATTCCAAGTTGCTATACCCTCTGGATACTTTCTAATATATTAATTTTAATTGCATTTTGATTATATACACTAAGATATTGTAAGTGTAAAATGTTAGACATGTGTGACATGAAATATTAAGAGAATGAGGAAGATGGCATGCTTTTATTGCACAAATGAAAATGATTAACATAAAGAGGTATCTATTGTATATCAATGAGATTATTTCTGTTGTTTGGTTGGATAGTACTAAACATTTCAATTCATTTATGTAGGTAAAGCTAAAAGTCAGATATTGATCCATAAAATGAATTTAATCACAATTTTAAGGGCCTTTTTTCATTGGCAAACAATATCAATAAATGTAGATTGACATGATGAAGCAAATGGTATAAGTTAGAAGGGTTGATTTCCTTTTCTAGAGATTAAACGAGAAACTGATGTCTTTTAAAGCAAGATTTTATTTGTACTGGAAATTAAATTCAATGATAGTAAGCTTCAGTAGCTGTGCAGATTTTTCACATATTTAAGAATTGTATTGCAACACATCTTTTTAAAGCTAAATACCACAGACTAAGCCTTGGAAATATTTTTGCTGAGATCTTCATGAATATCTTAGTAATGAAACTTATTAAACAAATGGGTCAGCAATTACTACTTGTTGCTATTTAGCACATAATTTGTTCCCAGTAATTTTCATTTTGTTGTGGCAGCAACAAATTCAATAGATTGCTGCTTCTAATTCTTTGCTTCTATGCTGTAGTCAAAGCCAAACAAAGCTGTTTGCTTGCATGTAACAAAACATCTATTCAAGGAGAAAAAAAGAGTTTGATTATTGTTCTGAGACTCTAGCTTTTGCTTCTTTGTGAGATGAGGAACACTTTCCTTATTGTTACAGTTTTAGGTAATACTGTGTTATTATGGCACCAGAGAGAAAGCCACTAGGCTTTCTCTCATGTTATTATTATCTGATCTATAGGCTAGTATAAACACACAACTGAAGTAAAAGTGTTTTTTTCAGAGGTAACTCCAATGAAAAGAGCTCTCATCTCTCAGCTTGCCATTTTTTATAATTATTTACAAGTGCACAAAGACAGTAAGCTTTGCATGACTCTTTTCATCAATATATTACTGGTCAATTCATAAATTATTAAAAGTAGAATTTATTATGAATCAAGTACTAGAATTTTATATTGTAAATTCCCTTATAATATTTCAGTTGACTTTCATGCTCTGTTTTGTAATGTTTCTCTTTTCTGTTATTAGATCCTTTCTTATTCAAGGGGAAAGATAGACTTAATAACCTGGAATCTAAATTATCTTTTTATATTTTCTTCTGAATGGATAGTTATAAGTTAAATTTTCCATGATTGCTATACATTACTAAATGATTACAGCCTTCTTAGAGAAAATTCTAATTTTAAATTTAATTTATGTTTCCATGCATTTGTAAGAATAATGCTGGGCTTGAGGATTTTGAAAGGAAAAAAACCCTTGGAACAGGTTCATTTGGAAGAGTCATGTTGGTGAAACATAAAGCCACTGAACAGTATTACGCTATGAAGATCTTAGATAAGCAGAAGGTTAGTGCTTTTCATTGCTTACATGTAGGGTAGCCTTTGCCAAGTAGACTTAAGTAGATGAATTAGGATGGCCTACCACTGATATCTTTAAATAATCTTATTGTTGCATTTATTTCCTATTCTTATTTATTGTGACTATATTGTTTTATTATATGGAGATTTGTTATTTCAATAGTTATTTATAAATGGTTCATATATATGTTAACTATATATAGTAAATAGATAAGTATATAGTAAATATATATACATATATATATTTACTAACAAATTATTGCATTCAACATGTATAAAACAAGCATTTTCATTGCACTGTGGAAAAATGTAGAAACCAATTCTTAATTTGATGCAAAATTTAACAGTTTTATTTTATGACTTATTTAATGTAATTGGGTTTTGTAAATTTAAAATTTCAGACAAAACAGGGAAAACTTGTAAAACTACATACTATAAACACAATTCAAGTTATTTATCACATACTGGTATACTGAAAGAATTAGGAAAACTAAGCATTCTCTATATACATTTGTCTGAATTAGGGAAGGGAAGGGGAACAACAAAATGGTGGGACAAAGGACAAAGGATGAACCAATGCAAAAGTAATACTCACAAGACAACATGTTGGAAATGAACTTTACAACTGGGGGAGGGGGAAGGAAAGTGGGAGAAAAATGAGGGAGGGTAACAATGTTTGACAAGAAATGTACTCACTACTTTATTTATGTTAACTGTGAACCCCTCTGTACCTCACCTTGACAATAAAATTAAATTTAAAAAGCTAAGCATTTTAGGCTCTAAATCTTAAGGTCTTATTTTCCAAGTAATCATCTTAACAATTAAGAGAAGGAAATAGAATTGTAGTAAATCTTGTGTTATCTTAGACTTATTATGTGTTAAGATGTGTTGTGTGATGTTTTGTTATGAGTTAAGATGTGACTTTTTGACTTACTGAGATATAGGTAGGAAAGTGTGAAGGAAGTACTGCTCACTGGTAACCAGAGTTAAGATATGGCTACTGATGCTTTCCAGCCATGATTATATTTTAAATTTTCTAATGCTCACATTTTCAAAAGTAAAAACAGATATTTAGAACCCTTATAATAGTGTTTTATTTACTAACCCACTGTTTAACATGTAATTAGTATAAACTTATTAGAATAGTTTGTATTTTATGCTGTCTTCAGACTCTAATATGTTTTTATATAATTATATATAACCAGTATCTATAGTAGTAGATTAGTCTGAGATTTCAGTCCAGTCTTTATTCTAATTAAAAGCAAACTAATATCTAATAGAAAAAGGAAATGGCTGTCTCTAAAATTAAATAGTAAATACACACGTTTATTTGCACATCTTTGTCTGCCTCCCTCATTTATATATCTTTCCAACCATGCTTCCTGAGAAAAATAGTGTAGTTACCCTGTCAACAACACACTTCCTATTATTCTTCAACCCACAACAGTTTACCCACCTCTAAGTGCTCTGCTGAAATGACTCTGCCTGGTGTCACCATTCAGTGACCTAACCACCATGTTCAGTAGACCTGTTGCTCATCTGATTTGACCTTTCAAGAGCCAATGACTGTGATGACCACTCCCTTGACAACATCTGTGCCCAGCATTTGGAACCTCATTTTCCTATCTCTTTGAGTTTTTCCTTTTTTACCTCTTTTCTTGTTTTATTTTGTCCCCACCCCACCCTCTATTCTCTAAGGATTGCTAATCTCTAGGCTCTGGATGATCTCTAAACTTCTTATTCTGTATACCTCCCCTATGCATTTTTATCCCCCATCCTCAATTCCTTAAGATTTCTACTTCTAATTTAAGCAGATTTTTTTGAAAACTTATTAAACCATTTATTGGATGCTTTGTCTAGCTTCCTCCTGATATATTATCTTTTTAAAGGAGTTTATAATAAATGATTTTCTTTGTAGAATGTTGGATATAAAGTATGTCATCTTATGCTTTAAACTATGTAGAAAAGATATAAGAAATCTTCCAATTAAACTGGCTTGCCTGTCCCATCTTGGGGAAGGTAAAGGAAAGAATTAAGACCGTCACATGTCTTACTCTGTGCTATGGTCAAGTATTGCTTAGTCTTTTATGTTGTTCCAGTGTGTATTCACAACTTTGTATGGCTTTATTCCTCCTTTAATACTAGTAATCTTGCTATTTCAGTAGTTTTCTATTGCCAAAGAGCTAAGAGTTGTAGTTGAACCAAGAATTTGATCTAGGCTTATCTGATTTCTATGCCTTTCTTCCTTATTAATTTTTGCTTTCAAAATGTATTGCTATTTATAATCCTAGCTCCCCAGGAATCCGAAATTTGAGGTTCATGTTTTTTGTTTTGTTTTGTTTTTGGCCGTCCTGGGGCTTGAACTCTGGGCCTGGGCGCTCAAGGCGAGCACTCTACCACTTGAGCCATAAAGCCACTGAGGTTCATGTTTTGAAGCCAGCCTGAGCAGGAAAGTCTGTGAAACTCTTCTCTCCAATTAACCACCAAAAGCCAGAAGTAGAGCTGTGGCTCAAGTTGTCGAGTGCTAGTCTTGAGCACAAAAGCTCATAACCAGTGCCCAGGCCGAGTTCAAGCCACAAGAGCGGCATTTTAAAGATCCTTTTTACCACTACTAGTTTGATCCTCAATTGATTTCAACTGGCATTTACAACAACATGGTTCCATAGTCCCAGACTTTTCACCTTTACTAATTTGCCTACTTTACTGCCAACAATGTTTTCATTTCCCTTACCCATCTACTTGTTTATGTATTTATTTACTTACATACGATTCTTTCTAGCTTTAATTATATTATATCCCACACATACATCGTTGGTATAGGGCTATAATGGAGAAAGCCCCACTTACGCATGTATTCATGGATTCATTACTTATTTCACAAGATGACACATTGTTTATGCCTAATTAAAAATTTGGTCCATCATAATGTGAAAATTAAATACAAACAAGAATTCTCCAACCAATGTTATATAATTTATTACAATAATTCTATACTAACTGGTTCTGAAAATAGTTAAAATGTGAATAGTAGCAACTAAACTACTTGATGTTCTGGACTTCAGAAAGTAAGGCTCCAAGTGTTGAAAGAAAACTCCTCATTTAGAAGGAGCTGAATAGAAGGCTAGGCTAGCACATAGATTTTTCTCACTGTCAATCAATTCAGTATTGTTTGCCTCTAATTTTTTTCAGAATAACAGTAACTGGCTGGTATTTTTAATTATTTTTCTTATTCATGCTCAATTGGTTGACTTCCTTATAACTTCAGCTTTTAAAGTAACTTTTAAAGTAATTCTAATTTATCTATTTCTTATCTCTACTTAGTCCTTACTTTTTACCTTAATTCATAGTTGATGTTCTTCACTATTAGGCTTTGCTCATTTGAATCTTATAAAATTACATAGCAATAATTATATTTCTTCCTCAAGCCTAAAATTTTACTTATTCAAGTTTACTATTATATAGAAATACTTTTATAATGATTATAAGTTTTGAATTCTCTTCAAATATACTAAAACATATCTTATCTCTTGGTGACAGGTTGTTAAACTGAAGCAAATAGAGCATACTTTGAATGAAAAAAGAATATTACAGGCAGTGAATTTTCCTTTTCTTGTCCGACTGGAGTACTCTTTTAAGGTAAATTTTAGTAATATCTAGGTAACATTTTTTTCCAGAAATGTGAACTTCTAAATAATTCCACTTTGACAAAATTATACAGTATTTTACGATAAAAGTTCTGGAGAAGCTGGGAATAGAAGGAATATACTTTAACATAATAAAGGCTGTATGACAAACCCACAGACAGCATCATACTATATATATAGTGAAACACTAAAGCCATTTCCTCTAACGTGAGAGTGTTTACGCTCTTTGTTCCTGTTCCATATAGTAGTGGAATTCCTACCCACAGCAGTAAGGCAAGAACAAATTATAAAAGGGCTTCAAATAAGGAAGCTTTTTTCTGCTATTTTTTGGCTTTACAATTTATTTGTGTATTCTTTAGCATTGTACGTTTTCATTGTTCAGGAATTAAGTGTTCTTGGAAAAACAAGAACAGCACAAGCCCTAACGTAATTTGTAATAAGAATATCATGTAAGGAGGAGGTTAAGTGTCATATTCTCACATGATACGAGTTTGAAATACTTTGCCTAGATTTAATAATTTTGACTTATTTTCTTTTGTTCCATAGGATAATTCTAATTTATACATGGTTATGGAATATGTTCCTGGAGGTGAAATGTTTTCACATCTAAGAAGAATTGGAAGGTTCAGGTAACCAATACTTTTCCCTTCCTTAAGTCTTCATTAGTTTTAGTATTGGTTTTAAACTCAAATTATAATTGAATTCCAATGATAAAAGTGGTTAATTAACCACGATTTTGGCTACAAGAAGTATTAGGTAAAAACATTTATAAGAGGCTACAGAATGTATGTGTTTTAAAATTCAAATGAAAGTACTGTAAAACCAACTTAAAAATTCTTCCACTGGTAGTTGTGATATTATTTTTAAAGTTTCTAGAAAATTCAAAAATTAAAGCATTAGTTAAATTAATTAAAGCATTGAAGAAATAATAGTATGTACAGTATATATACTTTATAACAGATTTGTAAGGGCAAGATGAAAAATATATTTTTTGAAATAATAATGGTATCATATTGACTTTGCCCTATAAAGAAACAAGTGGACTGAAACAATTCCTTCTTTACACTGTCTTTTCTAAACTTTTACACATTTGATATATGTACTCTAAATACTACTTATACCACCTTAGAAACTTTGAGGCAATAAGAAATTGAACAGTTGTTTAGCTTGGATTTAATCAGAATCAGTAGAATCATGTCCAGTATCTACTTAGAAGACATCTGAACTTCAAACCACACTGTTCTAAATTATCTTCCTGCATTCTCTTCAGTGTTAAGTAGAAATACCCAATACCAAATTGACTTTAGAGCATTTTACTCTTTCAACAATTAGATTAAAATCTATATGCTCTATTTCTTCAATCAAACATCAATGGGTAGCTAATTAGTATCTGATGGTGAGTAATCTGATTTACTGATACCTATAGAAAATAGAAAGGAGCTTCTTATACCCATGCTTCCAAGTTTAAAGTGGCACGTTGTAATAACTGGAGATGTTTTCCAGTCTCTATTTGCAGTTTTCCTCCTTGTACCTTGACAAAGGATATAAGTTGTTTCATTGTTGAGATGAGGAGGTTGAAAAGTATTTTTCTTTTCATAATCTCATTCATAAATATTTACGAGATCCTGATATGAATCAGTCTAAGACCTGGAAAATACAGTGACAATCAAAAAGAACAGCATATATATGTATATACATACATATATATATATATATATAAATTTTTTTGAAATTTCTGTTTTTTTTGCTATAGATCTATTAATAGTTCAGGTTAAAGAAAGAAATCTGAAATCATTACAATCTGACAGGTATTAGCAGAACTTAGTGAATATTCTAGAAAATTATCTATAATTCAAATTAGACAGTGGGTTCACACTTTTGAAATAATGCAAATTGTGACATGAAAAATGGGTACTATTAATCTTCAGATTCATGCAATTAAAAGGTGTCTATATAATGTAAATCCTTAAGCAAAAGCTCTTGAAATTTATCAGTAGAGTAGATGGAGCCTACTAACTGTAGCAGTATGTCTGGTAGATATTCTAGTTAACACATTAAAAAAATCATTTTCAAGATCAGATTACCTGTCTGGATATTGCTATCTAATATGAGCACTAGTGATTTACAGCAAGATGATTTTAAGGATAGGTTTTTCTTCAACATAAGAATGTAATCTAACATTTACAGGTATATAGAAGAAAATATATCCTCAGAATGTATTAAAGTATTCTTTGAAGACAATTTAGAAATTTACTAAACATTTGAAAACTAAAAAAAATTCTGTGCAAAACATTTGAAAGCAAAAATGCTTTTATTTCCCAAAATAGCTCCACCCCATATTAACTTTTGTTTATAGTCTACTTAGTAATTGTTACTCATTTTACAAAAATAAATAAATACTTTGTTTCTTTCCAGTGAACCCCATGCACGGTTCTATGCAGCTCAGATAGTGCTAACATTTGAGTACCTCCATTCATTAGACCTCATCTACAGAGATCTGAAGCCTGAAAATCTTTTAATTGACCATCAAGGTTATATCCAGGTATGACTTGATCACATAATATTACAGTGTACATGATAAAAATACTAAGCAATGCATTTAACTCCAGCTATCCATACTAAATTCCTTCTGTAAAGGAAACAGTTCTTTGTAATATCTAAAACTGAGCTTAAAGTTCTGCTTCAACAATCACATCAAGGGTAGAACCTGATTATATGTGTTATACTGTGTAGTTGTAAACTGAGCCTAGACTCCTACATAAGGAATATTAGCTATATTTCTTTCCCTTTTTGTTTTTGTCGGTCATGGGGCCTGAACTATGGGCCTGGGCACTCTCCCTCAACTCTTTAGGTCAAGGTTAGTGCTCTACAACTTGAGCTACAGTGCTGGTTTTTTCTGCTTAGGTGGTACTGAGGAATTGAACCCAGGGCCTCATGCATGCAAGGCAAGCACTCTACCACTGAGCACCTTCCCAGCCCTTAGCTATATTTCTGAGTACTCATTAGTACCAGGCATATTCCAAGTGTCCTATGTGTACAGATTGAGCATTGCCTAATTTGAATATCAAAACTTCAAAATATGAAACATCTGACATAAATAGAAAAATCCCATGAGCATGTGACTTTATGTAATAAGTACAGTTAAAATGCAGGTATGCTAAAAATATTTTATGAAATTACCCTCAAGTTGTCATTATACAGTTTATATAAAACATAAATTTATTTTGTGTTTAGACTTGGAAACCAGTACAAATATTTCATTGTGTATGCAAAAATACTCCAAGGTCTAGAGAAATCCAAAATATCAATCATTTCCGGTCCCAAGCATTTTGAACAGGGATGTTGAACCTGTATTATGTCTTTGCTGATAATCCTTTAAAGTGGTAATACTCTATTGTCATTTTAAGGATAATAAAAGTAATACATAGCAATGTCATCCAAACAGTATATGGTAGAATCAGAATTTGAACCCAGGCAATCTGGTTCCAGAGCCTATGTTCTTTTTTTTGGGAGGAGGCGAGCACTCTACCACTTGAACCACAGGGCCACTTCTGGTTTTTTGGTGGTTTATTGGAGATGAGAGTCTCATGGAATTTCCTGCCCAAGCTAGCTTTGAACCACTATCCTCTGATCGTAGCCTCCTAGTAGGTAAGATCACAGGCATGAGCCACCAGCGCCCGTCTAACGGCCAATGTTCTTTATCACTGCTGTACAATTGCCAAAGGACTTGTGACTACCAATATAAGACCAATATAGGATTATTACTAGAGTAAGAATATGCCTTATCACCTGTTTATCATACTTCTCTTATTATTGTTTTCATTAATAGGAGTTAATGGCAGAAGGCAGGTCAGACTTTAGGAATTCAGTGTGTTGGATTTTTATCAAGCTATTATTTTACTTTTTTTGTTAGTTGGGCCTAAGATCTTATGATAATGACTGAAGCTTAATTTTTTTTCTATTTTTTTTCTTTGTCTCTTTTGAGATAGAGAGGGAATTTGCAGTTTGGATTGTTTTATCCTTTGTTTGTTAAATAGTTGTCTTCATGAATTAGTCTCAGTTATACTGACTTAATTTTTCCCACTTTTTCATGACTTTCACTTGAATCCTGAATTGTTAATTTTCCATTGAGGTACAGCAGTCATATTTATTGTAAAGTAATAAATTTTCACAAATTTTTTTCTTTTATAGGTTACAGACTTTGGGTTTGCCAAAAGAGTTAAAGGTAGAACTTGGACATTATGTGGCACTCCAGAATATTTGGCTCCAGAAATAATCCTCAGCAAGGTATATTCCTAATATTCATATATGGGAAATAACACTATGAGACTTTGGTTAAAAAAAGTTTATTTTTCTAAATAGTATGTATTTTATTTGATCTAAATTGTAATTTTAAGCATATTTGTTCATTACGTCTAAATAATTATCTATATTCTACTAGTAGTCCCCTATCTTCTGTCAGTTTTAACTCTGGATCTTAGAGAATTTAAGTGAATAAATTTAACTCTAGTTCCATGCCTTGAAACCAAAATCATAATTTTCATAATTATTCCCAGTAACTGGTGGTGGAGAAGGCTTATTCTGCCTATCTCTTTAAGAGGAAGATCTAGACATGCTATGGATCAATTGTCAGTTCTTCCTTTTTCAAATTTATCACTTAAAAGGAATATATGAAAATTATTTTAATTCTATGTTAAATATAATGAATAGATTCAGTGTTATTGAAAGAAATTCTATTTCTGAATGACAAAATGTAGGAGAAACTATAACTATATTTAAAAGAATGTTTTTCTCTTTTCCTTTCCTTGCCAGCCCTTAATATAGAAGGCTAAAGAAACTCAAGCTAGAAAGAGGAAGTTAGCAGAAATTGAGCATAAAGAAGCAAGGAAATAAGAAGATATAAGAAATGCCTGATAGGTCATAAACAAATTCAAATTTGGCTACAAAAGTGTGAGACTATAAAAAAAATTCCTATTAGCTTTCCTCTTAATATTTCTCGTAATTTAAATCATATGTAGTCTTTGTAGTGCTTTATAATCTATCATTTCTGTTAACACATTTCTTTAAATGCATTTAACAAATAATGTACCCACAAAAAAATAAGCACCAAAACACAATACTTTATGTATTGTGAAAATAGATGTTCATTGTATAAATTTTGAAGATGCAGAAAAATTTCACCACACAAAGTAGCATTTGGGCATATTTTTTTCTATGCCTGTTATCCTAGTTGAAATCTTACTGCATCTATAGTTTTGTGTCTGGCTTTTTTTGTATACATAATATCAATAATGCATCCTTTTTAGTTTTGTGGTGCTAATCCTTGTATACAAACATGCCATATAACAATTATTCATCTGTTATTGATTATTTTAGATTATCTTTTGGGGTTTTTTGGTGGTTGTTTTTATGATTGGGAATTTGACTTAGTTTTATTTTTCTTTTTATGTTAGAAATCACTGCAATAAAACATCTCTGTGCTTAATTTTTTTTCTGTATTTTGCATTATTTCCTTAGGATAGATTCCCCAAGTGCAGTTACTAGGTTAAGAGCATGAACATTTTTAAGGCTCTTCATGTATATTGCCAAGCTGTTCTCCAAAAAGATAGTACCATTTTAATTCTTACCAGTAGTGTAAGATAGTATCTATTTTACTACCTCCTTTCCAGCACAGATCATTATCATTTTAAAAATATTTACTAGGGGTTGGACGCATGATTCAGTGGGTAGAGCTCTAGCCAATGAGTAAAGCTTCAGGTACTGAGTTTGAGTCCCAATCTCAGGCTTAAAAAAAAAAAGAAAAAATATTTACTAGCTTAATGGGAAATAAATGATGTCATTGTTCTTATATTCATATTATTATTATATTTTTAATGCTTAGTAGCCATTTAGTATTTCTTCGTATGTGTATAAATTGTCTATATTCTTTGCATATTATTTATGGCTTATTGATTCTTTAAGTTCTCTATACCTATGATATTTACTTTTATCTGACATATTTACTATAAACATTAGCATAGAATTTATAACAGAAATGAAAGAGTTAAGCAAAATCAATGCCTAATTCTATTCGTAAAGTTCTATGATAGTATTTCTTCCTTTAATAAAATACAAAATTAAGAAAAAAGATAAAAAGGAAATTTCTACGTTATGTTATTGTATTTTTGTTAATATCTTGGAAAACTAAGTCATTTGTAAAGCTAATATTCTGACAAAAAGGTAGAATGTGAGGACTAGTGATACTGATCCGAGAGCCTGTTCAAAGACAGAATAGAAGATCTGGGAAGAACTAAGCTTCTTTCTTTCCATGATCAGATAATTGCTAGTTCTACTTTTCCCATAATTTTGGGGCTAATTGATACAGATCATAGTTGATAGCAAACTTTGTTGAAATATATAAATGTTATTATTTATGAGCTTATAAATACTTCTGTGTGTGAATTCTAGTAAGCTTGATGTTAACATCAAGTATATTCTTTTCATTATTCACTTTGTATATGCTATTCCTTTCCATTTGTTATACACCTCTCAAAACCCTGAGTTCATTTTCTTTCCTGAATATATTTTAGAGTTGAATAGAACAGTATAGAGCAAAAGTATACTTTATATTTTTCAAGATGCTGTGATGTACATGTGATTATCCGTGCTATATTCACAGTCCTATTTCCAAGAGTGCATAATATTTTAAAGTCAATTTTGTTATTTACTATTCCAGTACTACTATTTTGTTTCAAAACATTAAACCTTTCTAGATTTGCTCTTAGAAACCTGATCTTAAGATGATGGGCCTATAATAAGCCTTAAAAGACAAATTGGTTTATGTCCCTTTCTGTTGTTGAGCAACAATTATCACAATAAAGTAGAAGAAATTTCATTGTCAATAATATTCTTCATGATTTTAGGAAGAGAAATTAGTAATTCTTTCCAATACCCAATTTCAATATCTAGAATTCTCCCTTTAGTGGGCTGGGAAGGTGGCTCAGTGGTAGAGCGCTTGCCTTGCATGCATGAGGCCCTGGGTTCGATTCCTCAGCACCACATAAGCAAAAAGAAAGCCGGAAGTGGCGCTGTGGCTCAAGTGGTAGAGCGCTAGCCTTGAGCTGAAGAGCTGAGGGACAGCGCCCAGGCCCAGAGTTCAGGCCCCATGACCGTGCCCAAAAAAAAAAATAAAAAAAGAAAGAAAGAAAGATAGAATTCTCCCTTTCATGTAATCTAAATCTGACCTGATCTGTTTTTCTCCTTTTTAAAATCCTGTTCTTTATAGCTTGTTAGCAGTTTCCAGATCATTTTGAAATTACCAATAGCGTCTTTTTCCTCTAGTAATTTAAGTACTGATTGACTCTATGATTGGTTTGTCTCAGGGCTACAATAAAGCAGTGGACTGGTGGGCGTTAGGAGTGCTAATCTATGAAATGGCAGCTGGCTACCCCCCATTCTTTGCAGACCAACCAATTCAGATTTACGAAAAGATTGTTTCTGGGAAGGTAAGTAATGCTATTTACCACTTACTCACTTGTGTATCTTTTCCTGTTCCTTATTTCTGCATATGAATTTTAGGGCTTTTGGATTGAAACCACATAATATTATCTGACTGTTAATCCTACATTAGGGGAAAAATGGATATATTCAGTGTTTAAAAAAAAAGAGCAGGTGTACCAACAAGCTAGCAAAGTATAGGTTACTTTTGTGTTTAGTACTCATATTCTTTACAAAGCAAGGTGTCATTGTCACAATTCTCAATATTCTATTAAGTAAATAAAGATTAGCAGTTTTGTAGACATGTACTTGAAAAGTTTTAGAGGCTATTTTTGTGCCCTTTCTCTTTCAGTAGGGACCTCTGGTTTTAATTATGTCATATACCACAAAATAGAAGTAAACATGAAATAGATAAGTCTTTTTACCATAGGAATTCATAGAACTGATTCTGTAGAATTGTTTGGGCTGATTTTGATTATAATGGCTATTGACTTTTCATCAGTAGTTGGACCAAGAAGGATTTCATTGTGACATTTCCACCCATGTATATTGTATGCCATCAAATTAACCCGTGTCATTCTCCCTTCTAAAACAATTAGAACAGACTTCATTGCTCTATTTTTATTTAGACAAAATATTTCAATCATGTTCATCTTCATTTACCTTCACTATTTGCCCTCCCTACTCCTGTTGAATCTGCCTACCTCAAACAGAGCCTGTTTTACTTACCTGTTATTCAAGTTTTTTTTAAGTGTATATTAATATATGTACTTCAGAAATACATGTATTTTAGTCAAAATAACATTATTGTTTTCCCATCTCTACCCCTAACTCTCATTAATCAACAGCTTTTGCTGAGATGCTTTATGCCATGTAATAAGTAATTTGAAACATTATTCTATGTCACAGTGTTTTTTTGTTTTTTGTTTTATTGTAAAGATACTATACAGAGGGTTACAGTTACATGAGTGAGGTAATGAGTACACTTCCTCTTGAACATTGTTAGCCCCTCCATTGTTTTCTCCCTACCATCCCTTCCCTCCCTCCCTTCCCCGAAGTTCTTTTTTTTTTTTTTGATTGTGATTAAGTGATTACATAATTTCTAAGTCACAAGTTCATTCTTCTATCACAGTCTGTAATATATAACAGTGTTCACATGTTATACACCATACATGTGATCAGCAGCATGGGGATATTTAGTAGTGGTTCAACCAGATGAGCAGGAGTTCTTTGTTTCTTAAGTCCTGTTAGTTTTATCGTATCACCTAACATTTTGGATTTATCATCCACTTATCAGGGAGACCATGTACCGTTTGTCTCTTCGCTCTTGGCTTACCTCGCTCAACATGATTCCTTCTAGCTCCATCCATTTCCCTGCAAATGCCATTATTTTGTCATTTCTAATGGCTGCATAATATTCCATTGTGTATAGATACCACAATTTTTGGATCCATTCATCTGTCGTGTCACAGTGTTTTGTTTAAGTTTCTGCATGAACTTCCTTTCTTTTCCATTTATAATTTCTAATTTTGTTTGTAGTCAGTCACCGTTGACTTTATGTGCACTTGAGATATTTTTGGAAAGTACCACAGTTGATTTCAAGAAATGAGCCTGATTCTTCCTACCATGTAGCCTTTGATACACTCTCAGAGGAGGCTTAAGCACTGATGTAAAAGTATATAGGAAAGGACATTTTTCTTTTCTTGTATATGTTATACCTTTTAACCTTGTCACTTTTTTATTCTCCAAACATTTTTGTTAGCATATCCTAGCTGTCCAAGGGATTCCATACTTACTTACACTGTCTCTTGATTAGACTGGCCCCTTCATCACTCTCGCCCCCTCTTCCTGTAACGATTTTAGCAGGTCTCACTATCTGCGAGTCTCATCCTCTTTTTTTTTTAGACCACATAGTCTCATTTAGAATATGACTGTGAAGTAGAACATCAATTTAGATATCACACTAGCCTGAGATGTGATATAGACTTTTCATGTTTTATGACCTTTTGAGTCACAAATAAGTCTAGTCACATCTCTACTTTTTTAATATATATGTTTTTTAGTGTGAAAATACCATACAGAGGGGCCTAGATGGGCAAGGTAATTAGTACATTTCTTTTTTTGTCGTATTTTTTTTTGTGAAAATACTGTACAGAGGGGTTATAATTACATGGGCAAGATAATGAGTACATTTCTTATCAAGCATTGTAGCCTCCTCCTTTGTTTCCCCTTCCCATCCATTCCCATCCTCCCCCCCCACACCCAATCCTCCTGCCCCCTTTCCCCCCACCAAAGTTGTAAAGTTCATTTTCAACATAACGACTTGTACATCTCATTGTTGCAATCAATGGGTCCACCTGTATCCCTATTTAAACGATTTGTTTTTCCCCTTCCCCTCCACAAATTATACCGACATGAAATACAGTGAAAGCAGGGGATATACTGTGGGGGAGGGAATGAGTACATTTCTTATCAAGCATTGTTGCCTCCTCCTTTGTTTCCCCTTCCCATCCCTTCCCATCTCCCCCACCACCACCACCCTCAATCTCTACTTTTTATCTCAGCCAAATTCAAGTTCTTCATTTAATGTACAGTTGATCTCAGTATCCATGAATTTAAAATGTATAGTGTTAAATATTCACCAGTTACACTGTGTGGATTATATAAAGACATCATTCTGCCATCATGCCAAGTTAAATCATGGAAGTTGTATAGCTAAGAAAGAGGAAAAGACAGTTAGTTATAGAATGTTGTCTAACCACTGACTTAGTAGCAATAGCTCAACAAAGTTCCATAGCTTGTTATGTAGTCTATAAGTATCACGGACTTTTTCTTGTATTGTGCTTCATGTTCTGTACAGTCTGATGTTAGGTCAGAATTCACAAATTAGGTCACTACTTAAAGACCTTATACCTCAATTATGTCACAAGTTAAAAGTAAATACCTCTTACAGGTATTGAAAGGTTTTGAAAGGTTTACACTGAAAAATGCAACACAGAAAGACAATGCATCATTTCTTTTAAATAATTAAGTATCCCTGTTACATTTGTAAATCTCTGGATTTTAAATTTCTCATCTTTTTCACTTTTTCACAGAATATGAAAGTTATAGTAAAAGAACTTTTAATATGAACAAAATAAGACTTTGAGAAAAGTTAAACAAGGCAGTGATTTATTTTTTAAGAATTTTAGAAATGAATGTTTACATTTCAAGTGAGACTAAAAGCTGAAAGTCATATAAAGAAATATGAGAAAACTAAAAATCTAGTTTTCTAACAAAGATGCTATCATAACTAAATTTACATTTACTTAGGAAAAATGCTTTAGTTTAAATGAATGGCTTCATCAATATTATGAATAGCTTCATTTTGACAATGATTCTAAGTGAAGAAAATTTATGTTTTTGAATGTTTTCATTTAATACCAAATTTTAATATTTTGAATCCAGTAATTTATAGCCTAAAATCATAACAGTTTAAACTTGATTTTGGGAAAATAATAATAGTCTATCATATTATGGAATGATTATTTTTCTCTTGGTTTATTTAGAAATAAGACAGGTTATTTGGAATACTCTTGTTCCTAACAGTGCCAGATTTTTTTGTCTGTGTTGAGTACAGCAATTTTCATCCCTCCATCCTTTGTTCCATAAGAACACTTCCATATCTGTGTGATGTGACATATTGATCATATTCACATTCCCAATAAAACTGCCTGCTTTTGCACTCAGATCCAACCTGAAATGTTTCCCTATCCACATCACAAAACTAGTATCTCCCAAGTTAGTAATCAAAAGCCAAATTGAAAACTAACTAGTTTTTAATTTTCTTTAACTATTCAAGCCATTAAAATCTGATTTTGATTTAACATTTCTGGATCACATGTTTGAAATCTTAATGGTTCTAATTACATAATCTCTATGAATATATGCTTCAATTAGAATTATTTTTTCTGATTTTTAAAAACAGTAGTACTTTATGTCAATTATATTTTTCATTCTGAAACCATGATATAAAAAATAATGGTATCTGGGGCTGGGAAGGTGGCTCAGTGGTAAAGTGCTTGCCTTGCATGCCAGAGGCCCTGGGTTCGATTCCTCAGCACCACATAAGCAAAAAGAAAAACCGGAAGCGGCGCTGTGGCTCAAATGGTAGAGTGCTAGCCTTGAGCTGAAGAGCTGAGGGATAGTGCCCAGGCCCAGAGTTCAGGCCCCGTGACCAGACCCAAAAAATAAATAAATAAATAAAAATAATGGTATCTATTACTTATCAGAGTTAAACATTATTAAGTCATTCATTGACTCACTAAAATATATACATTTTAACATTACATTGCTAGGTATTGTGATTATTACAATATTTTAACTTGAGCTTTATTTTTAAATGCACAGAAAGATGATCAATCAGCTTGTTAGATTCTCTCCTCCACATATTTTGCCTTTAGAAAAACAGAGGAGGTGGTATTTAAATGTCAAATTATTCATGCAATATTAAGGCTTAGGTTTAAAAATGCATAGTTGACAGGAAAAATTTATAATCCTACACTAACTTTTCTCCTCCTAAGCAGTGCATATTCTGAATTTCTGTACATAGTCTTTAAATTTCATGCTTTGATACCATATATTCTATGACAAGAAGCAGTTATGGTTTCCACAGCAACTCTTATCTAGCTGGGAATATAAAAGTTAATATTATGTTCAAAAATGATACTTGCAATAAAGTAATCAGGTAATGTGGATACCATAGTTTCAGAGTCTTTGCTGTACACAATTCAAAAAATTCTTAGTTTCACCATATATAATATAATTATTACTCTACTTTCAGTGAACACTAAAATTTTACAAGAAGACACTGCAAAAAGTATAGGGACATCAATGTTAAGTGTATATTGAATGATCAAGAGTTGGCTGATTTTTTTCTTCAGGGAAATCAGCATTTACATGAAGGGTAATAGTTTAGCAGTGAAATGGCCATTCCCTTCTGGGTGAAGAGTCCCAAGTCCATCTTCAA